AAGAGGGTGGCTCATCGGCTTTTTCTGAGAGACAATTTTCTTACGAATAGTTTGACACTAGACACTCTTATTTTGTTTTCACTATTTTTCTGAATAATTATAAGAAACGATCATACCTAACAACAAATAACACGTATCTGCATTTGGTATACCTATGCGGTAAGTCCTATTATTCTAGTTATACGAGACACACAATTGAATGTTTCGCTAGGGCTACTTCAACAAATACCTAATCTACGTTATTGCAACTTACTGAGAGATTTTTTTTTAGGACAATTACAAACCAAGTGTATAAAGCTACGTCAGTTACTGGCGGAGAACTGAATCATAAAGTAATGGCGGCATTTCACATCCTGCGAAATACTTAATCAATGTGGTGCAAGCAACAATTGATACTTTATCAACTGTACATACATTATGAACTTTGCCGTGATCAAAAAGAAGGTCATTTTGAACACTTAGAATTTTATTTTTTATTATAATAATGATAGGGTATGTATTTAATTTATCTGTGTAGTTTACTCCAACGCAGGCCAACACGTCTATTTCTTTTTCTTCACTGACGATAAAGTTATTCACATTTTAACCTCTGGTTCGTTGCATATTTTGTATTTCAAAAGCAACACCTTCAATTGCTTGTCACGGATAACTAGAATAATAGGACTTAGTGCATAGGTATACCGAATGCGGATTCGTGCTATTTGTATGATCGTTTCTTACAATTATTCAGAAAAATAGTGAAAAGAAAATAAGAGTGTGTAGTGTCAAATTATTCGTAAGAAAATGGTGTCTTTGAAAAATCCGACAAGCCACCCCATTTCCATTTGAAGAAATCAAGTAAACAAAAAAATGGTGTATTGCACTTTTAGAAAATCTTCAAGACGACTGTAAGGTAGTTCGCCTCTAAATCGTATTTTTCCCCTGTTACTTGATCAAAAATGAAGCGATGGCCTTCTAGATCGAAAAATAAAATTGAAATAACACCATTTTTTATTATTTCTTGACAAGTGAGGCGTTATTGAGTTCCGGATGTCATTCTCGATCGAAATCAGTAAAAATATATAGGGTGTCCCATTTAAAAATCGAAAGTTGGAGTCGTTTCCGGCCAAACATGAAGTACGTCAAAGCAAGTGAATATGTCAAAAAATGTAAATTCATCTATAATACGCAATTCCCAAATTTTGTTTTTATGTTAAATAGTAAAAAAGTTATAGGGGTGAGCCGCCTTGGAGAATCACCCGGTATAGACACGTGTTCAGGTATGTTGATATGTTGTAATTTGGATCTTCCCTTAGCCAACAGTTCTTGCTTCTAGTATTGTAACTATAATTCTTGTATAACATATATTTATTATTATGTTGAACTATAATAATACTAATATAATTTTTGTATATTAAGAATTTCTGTTTCAGCACGTAAAAGTTCAGATGAGTATAATATGGTTGATTGATAGAATAGTTTTTGTGCTTTTTTTATGCGTCTTATTTGCAAAGTTCCAAACTGTTATTCCGTAAGATAGGTGACATTTTACTAGTGCGTAATATACAGGGTGGCGCATAGAAAACTGGCAGCTCAGTTTTTTTTTTGAAAAACGCTCAGACTCGTCGATTTTGTTTTCGAGGGGGGCACAAGTTTGGCAAAAAATCACTTAGCACGTGCAGCCTCCTGGGCGGGGGTGACACCACCTTCAAAATCTTAAGTGGAAAAGGGGATCGAGTGATACCTTATTTTAAAGGTCTTTCAGTTCCCTTTATAATGATATAAAATTAATGTACTTCAGTTCAGTAGTTTTGAAGATTTATTGATTTAAAGCTTAAATAAAACTAATACATCATCATTAGTGGAGACCAATACATTTGGCAGCAAAGTAATTTAAAAATGAAGAATGAACTGACCCGTTAGGCAAGTAAATGTAGAAAATGGCCACCATGACTCTTCATGCAATAATAAAGATTTTGCTCAAAACATTGCCGCACATTTTGCAATATTTGAGGAGTAATTTGAAGGCACTCATTCACAATTCTTTGTCGCAGGTCTTCTAATGATGTTGGCTGAGTAGCATAGATTTTGCTTTTTAAATGACCCCATATAAAGAAATCCAAAGGTCATAAATCTGGCAATCTTCTACCAATCCATCGATCTGGAAACGTCTGATCTAAATATTGTCGAACACGTAATGCGTAATGTAGTGGGGCACCATCCTGTTGGAACATCAACCTATTCGCAATGTACCGCCGATCATTCTGATGTTCAATTATGGCTGTTAATGCAGGATCTATGGCGTCTTTCAGTAATTCCAAATACATTTTATCGGTCAAATTTCCAGGCAACAAAAAAGGACCAAGTAAATGATAGCCAAAAATACCAGCCCAAACATTTAATTTTTGTGGCTGCTTGTGTATGAACCTCATGATAAATTCTGGAATTAGAATCGGACCAATATCCGCAGTTATGACGATTTACTACGCCATTTAAGAAAAAGGAACATTCGTCGGAAAAGCAAGTGTTGAATAGAAAATGTTCATCGTTTATAATTCCTTCACTCATATCTCCACAAAATTGTAATCGCCGATCAAAATCGTCTTCATTAAGTTCTTGTACCAGGTGAATTTTATACGGATGAAAACTATGGACCTTTAGAATCCGTTGGACAGTACGTCGACTAACACCACACACAGTCTCCAATTTGCGGGTACTTAACGTAGGATCTACATAAACTTGCCTTAAAATCCCCCACTCCCATTGCTTCGTTCCTTATGGGATTTTCAATGTTGCGTTTTTTATTGGCGACTGACCCAGTTTCCCGAAATTTAGCTACGAGTTCTAGAACATATTTTCGATGCACGTTACTGTTCTCATGTCGCTCATTAAATTATTCTGCTGTTCTATTAGCGCACTGATTATTTCCGAAAAATATTTCGATAATTTAAACTCTTTCTGCTGTGGAATATGCCATGGTTAATTTATGTAATAAAGCGTTACAAGTTATTTTAGCAACAAAGTTTGGTCAAATCAATCGCAAACTATGTACCAAATTCCTTTTTAAAATAAAAATAGAAAGAAATAACTTTTTTGCCACAAAAAAACGCTCCAATAGCTATTTTCAACAACAAAATGATAAACAAGCCATGGGCGTAGTGAATAAAAGCATTTACTTATTAAGTAAACTCTTTTAGTCAAATTTCTTCTGAAAGTAGTACAAACTAATCTGATGTACCAATTAAAGTCTACTTTAAGCTTTAAATCAATAAATCTTCAAAACTACTGAACTGAAGCTCAAGTATTTTACATCATTATAAAGGGGATTGAAAGATCTTTAAGATAAGGTATCACTCGACCCCCATTTCCATTTAAGATTTTAGGGTTGGTGTCACCCCCGCCCAGGGGGCTGCACGTGTTAACGTGATTTTTTGCCAAACTTGTGTCTCCCTCGAAAACAAAATTGACGGGTCTGAGCGTTTTTTAAAAAAAACTGAGTTGCCAGTAAATGCGTCTGTTTCGTTTTCGGTGCGCCACCCTGTATGTTAATATTATGAACGGTTTTTTTGTGAGAAAATGCTTAAAGCTGTGGAATTTATACGAGTGTGTGGCGGCCGTGCTTCGCTGCATTTTCAAGACGTGCTCAATCATCTCCGGAAGGACATTGTAAACATTTAATCACAGATCATCCAAGCAACTGATGCAGATGATACTGGCTTGCTGTGTACGCATAGACGAACCTCGCTAATCTCCAATGTAGAAGCTTACCATCGTCTGATCCGCTTTCTAGGAAATGTCATTAACGGACTGCATGTGCATCCACTAACAGACTCGGATAGATTATCCTCTTTATGCCCAATGCATGACATGTGATACATACTGGAACCCATTGAGTCTATATTCTGAGAAGCATGTATGTACGATTCTGTGTAATTCCCGTTTGTGCCACACTTTTCAAAAAGTACTTCATTATATACGCTGATAATCTATCAGTTATTACACACAACAATTATCAAACCACTCCTTACGCATGAGCGCAAAGAATAAATTAAAAATGTTTGCAGAACGGGTCCTATGCTGAAGTTGGGTTGTATAAATCTTTTTGCTTTCTTGTTAGTAGTTTTATATTTCTGCACAAGAGTGATACGCACCAAAAGTGATATAATCGGCACTATTTTATTGTACTGAAATTTTACAAAAAATTTCTGCATTAGCTTGAAATTCAAATAAAATGTGTATATTCAGGTCAGCTTCCGTCGTACTTACCATGCTACACTTTTTTGACATAAAACTAAAGAAAAAATGGTACTGCAGGCATCAGCTAACATTTATTTCCATTTCGCATAATATGATATAATGCGGCACTAAACGCTCTGTCTCGTTCCTTTGATGCTTGACAGTGCCTCGGAGGTAGTACAAGGGACATGCGCCTTGTTCCTGGATAGTATGTATGATTTGGATGATGAAATTCCATTCAGTGAATTGAAAAACCATGTAAAAGATGCAGCCCAGGATTGATTAGATAATATAACCGGTAATTATAATAGTACATATTTTGAGCGACGACGATGATGTACCTACAATTTTTGTATCACCTGTACATAAGGCTAACATATCATCTATGTGAAAGGATGTACACAAAAGCTCAAAGAAACGTATCCCTAATTTCGGTAACTCTAACCAGTCACGTTGTACTACATATTTTAGCGCCCTCGGATGATTTCAAGTACTTTGATGATCCAATCCAATATCTATCGCACTAAAAATCGACCTCATAAAGCATTACGACATTACGCCTTTCAGTGAACGACTGAGACAGTTATTGTTGTAACGACTTATACAGGGTGGCCGATATGTAGCTGACTGGTTTGTGTATTGAATATTTGTGAAATGAAAGAACATACGTCCATTTTTTTCATCTTAATCTGTTACTGAAACTTAGAAATTATGTATGAAAAATAATTTTTTTTTTATACTCCAACTACCACGAAGGCCTAAGGCCTAAGCACCCATTGGGTACCGTGGGGCTATAGGGGGATACATGGGAAAAGGGGGGACGCCACACGGACTCTGGCGAGGGAACACGTGTGCATGCAACATGCACACATTCTGGCTCCGCCTACGAGAACCGCCGGGTGGTACCTCCGCGTTCGACAGTCAGAGACCATCTACCACCTACGGACGATCACAACATCCATAGCCAGCCATAGTTGTCGGTAAAAATTGTTATTTTGGGTATTAAGCTGCAATATTGCAAAACTGTATTGTCGGTGACTCTAATGGTCACTAGGCTGTAGTTCTTAGGTTAACTGAATTTTGTAAGGCCGCATAATGACATGCGACGAATATCCAGTTGTTGACAACGATGTCTGGCAGGTGCGCTCCACTATACTTTCACGAATTCTCTCGATATTTTCCGGAGTACGAACAGTTTGAACACGGCCCGACCTTGGCAAGTCTATAACTTCAGCTGTTTGTTCAAATTTCCGCACCATGCGTTTGACACTGGGCACATTATTTCAACGGAAATCTTGTCGTAGCTTCCGAATGTGCTTTAAACAAATACTACAGCGAGACCTACTGAAATGCGTGTATCAAAAATGGCGCGCAATTTAAATCAGTCAGCTATACATATGGTGGCCACCCAGCATAACAAAGTAATTAAATGGAACGTACAATCTGTCCATATTGCAACAATGCGATCTAGCCTACCTCCCGACCGACGATCCTGCTTGAGGTTATATTTGTATTATACATGAAAAGATGCATGGAGACTCATGACTCAGTCATCTATGGTAATCCTAACTTCTAACGTCAAATGTATCGGTGAATCCTTGATTTATGAAATATGTCTAATAGTTGCGTAGAATTACTTTACTTGGATTGGAAATGTATAAATTACTAACACTAAGACATTCGCATATACTCTCCCCCACCTCCTACAACTCACAACATCGAATTTTCAACTAACGCAAATTTATTTCTGAAAATGACCAGGACTCGGAAACGTCAAAAACCGAAGCTTGCGAGATTTTATTTTTTTCATGTGCCCCTAGCTCTGCCACCATCGACCGATTTACAAAATCTACAATGCTTTTTCGTCCTCATTGACCTGAATATTTCATCCAAATCCAAGCAGTACTTTCCAAGTTATAGGTGGCCCAAAGACTAGCGGACAGGCAGTCAGACAGACCGACGAAAATGCGTGGGATGATATTGCGTGACGTACATGTCATATAACCCATAAAAAATAAATAAATTTTTCACGATTACAATACTTCCTCGCACAATGGCGTAGGAAGTAAAAATCCCATGTTTCGTATATGATATTACAGGCACTAGTTTTGATCATAATTGGTAATCTGGCATCTTATCCTTATTATTGAAATGTATAAATCTGCGAATTCAATACGTCTCGACTTAATCGGCTTGTTCGTACAGGGGTAACTGGGATCCGGCCTTGTAAATTCCGTCTATATAGCGTAGCACAATGAACGGAATTTGTGTGGCGGGATCTTGGACACAATCACTGTCAGGTTGACGACAGATATACGAACAGGGCTATTGTGTTATTAATCCTACTTTTTTTAACAGTAGTTTCTGGTACGGTGTAAATCAAATACAGACTGTAATAAAACTTTATTTTTTAAATTGGTAGATTTAGGTTGGAAACCACGGCGGATCCGTTGATGATATCCGTGATGTTGCCAAATCTACAGTTTTTTAGATACTGATATCAAATTTTGTTTTTCTTATGGAATGCTATACGAGGGGGTACCCAAAAAAAACCGAATTATTTTTTAAAAGCTATTTATTTTCAACTTTTTCACAAAGTAACCTTATATCCTTCAGAATACTGTCCACGACAACTAATACACTTGTCCCGCCGGTACCTCCACTGCTCGAAACATTTTTTGAAGTCTTTTCCTCGACCTCTTCAATGTCGTCAAAGCGGCGTCCTTTCATGTGCATTTTCATCCGTGGAAATAAGAAAAAGTCGCACGGAGCCAGGTCAGGGGAATAAGGTGCGTGAGTTAGCGGAACCATGCCATTTTTAACCAGAAACTGTCGAACAGAGATGGCTTTTAGACATGAAAAAGCTGTCCGCGCGTTTGGTGCCGCGTTTGCTCACGTTTGACCAAAAACGTGTTCGAATGAACATTTCCAACGCTATGTTGGCGCAATTTAGGCGCAATAAATCCGAGTTTTAGCCCCGATTAATTACTGTGGATGAAACTTGGATACACCATTATATGCCCGAAACAAAAATACAGTCCAAACAGTGGACCGCAAAAGGGGAACCAGCTCCAAAAGAAGGAAAAACTTTTTTTTCAGCTACGATAGTGATAACGACTGTTGGGATTGCCATGGAGTTATTTCAATCGATTATCTTCAAAAAGGAAAAACCATGATACGGGCATACTACGCATCATTACTTGACAAGCTGAAGGCAGAGCTTGCGGAAAAACGGCCACATTTGCAGAAAAAGAAAATCCTGTTTCACCAAGCCAACGCAACGTCTCACACCTCAGCCGTTGCCATACGAAAAATCTACGAATACGGTTTGAACTGCTTGGCCATCCTCCTTACTCACCCGAACTAGCCCCAAGCGACTTCTTTTTGTTCCCTTATCTAAAAACTGCGTTGGGAGGACAGAGATTTTCGTCAAATGAAGAGAATGGTTGCAAGGAGACAATGTTGAAGAATGAAAAAAAAATCAGAAAACATGTCTTTTATCGTTGTTACGTCGGAAACTTTTCAGACCACCCTCGTATATTTAATATTTGAGAAACTAATCAAAAGAATCTTCAAAAGCTAAGGCCCGTATCGTCAGTCGTCCCTACTTGTAGGGCGCGTTTATGGCCTCCTTGATTGTCACCTTTCTCTCCTTCAAAAATTTCTAGATTACACTTGTCCCGTGTCAGCGTCAGCACTCCCCTATTGTGAAGATATGTTTTCTTTTTAAATTGTAGGAAATTTCAGGCTGATAAAACATGATATAACTCAAAAGCAAGCACAATTTGATGCAAATAGATGTTTGTGACATAACCTCAAAATAGAGTTCTGACACGGAAAATTAGAAAACTATGACAATCAAGGAGGCCATAAAGGTGCCCTACAATTGTAGGGACGACTGACGATACGGGCCTTAGACCTTGTTACTTTGACAGTCTGACAGTCGGTTGGGGTTAAGTGGGGTTGAACTTCGTGGCTACTAACTGATTATCGAGAGTTGAAGATAAACCGTTCATTAACTCTCAGGATAAACAGATTACTTCAGAAAAGAAAAGAACAGACTGGGTTGTTCAGTTGAACTGCTCTGTTAGCCAAATGAGTAATGGATGAAATTTAACTGATTCCCTTACGTCTAATTAGAAATTCAAACTTCAATTCAAGGAATTAGCTCATCGAATATGGAAGAAGAACTAGTGATGCAATTAGACAAGTTGTATAAGATTAAGAGTTTCATTATGAAAGTATCTACAATGAAGTCAGAATTATGATACCAAGAATCGAATTAGCCACTGTACGAATAATTAGTGGAATTATTACCAGAAGGAAATTGAGAATTTAAGCGCTGGATAACAGAATACTTACGAGGTCTTTTCCTTGAAACCCAAGCACAGAACTGAGTACCTGCTGTTCCCGAACGATCCTCTTGGACCGAGAGGTCACACAGATGGTCATTCATTCAGTGGTGTGCATTGAAAAGGGATACTTTTAGAATATGTAAAATCAGATCAACAAAGGTATTTCTCCATATCATTTGGTGAAGTATTCTATCAAACACCTACCTATGCGACAGGGAGAGTTGGAGAGCCGTTAACATTAAAGTGAAAGCAATCCGGTGTTAGAGGAAAACTCTACCAAAAAAAAAATATTTCGGGTGTAATTTATTTGATGTTTTGAATCTCTATTAAAGTTGAACATATCATTTTATTACTTCTATAATCGAACAAATTTTGAACTTCTACAAGCACCCTTTTTGTATGCGGCGCTTCCCTTATTCTCAGGATAAAGTTTTTGTTGGAAGGTTGAAAATCTTATGGGTTGCGATGGTTTACTCCACCTTTCGACATCTTTTTAATTAAGTATGCCAATCATTTTCTAATAAAGTGTACAGATGTACGAGCAATACCATTTACTGTAAAAAAGATCCATACACATATTTAAGGTCGTCAGTATGCCATTAATTAAACTCGTGTTTGACCTGAATTGAATTTGTTATCATTGTCAAGACTTTCAAGAATAACGGCTCAATAATTGTTTTTCTGGGTTGGTTCCTCTCTGCAAAAACTTCGTCTTGCGCAATTCCCCATAAGTTTTTTCAAACAGAAGCAGCTGCAAAGGTAAAGCCCAAATATCCCAAAGGTAGATTGATCCACAATCTCGATAACCTAGAGACAAAGGAGCGCTCTTATCCTCCAGTCCTGGATGTACAAACTTCGACACGCTTAGGATGAGAGGCCGTAATTCCCATAGCTCACCACCAATTTTTGTTATCCGCAATTGTCCAGTAATGCCTGAAAATTCCTTTTTTTATACTCCAACTACCACGAAGGCCTAAGGCCTAAACACCCACTGGGTACCGTGGGGTTATAGGGGGATGCAGGGGAAAGGGGAACGCCGTGGAACACGTGTGCATGCAACATGCACACATTCTGGCTCCGCCTACGAGATCCGCCGGGTGGTACCTCCACGTTCGACAGTCAGAGACCGTCTACCACCTACGGACAATCACAACATCCATAGCCAAGAGAAAAATTTCTCCTGGGACGGGACTCGAACCCGCACAGCGCACGGCGACTGATCAGGAGACCGAAGAGTCTACTACTGCGGCCACCGCTGCTGCCTGTTATATGATACAAGAAATTCCCTTAGCGAATAATCCCTAAACTTTGGCCTCTCAGTGAGGTCTACCTACTGTGGTGTTTATTAGATTTCCGTCTCTCCAATACATAATACAAAATAAATAAAGGTCCGAAGATGGGCATCGGTGAGTCCGATCCTGTGCGTATTTTTGAACGTCGTTTTCTTAGCTCTACGCAGTGATGGCGATGACATCCTCCGTATTGGAGGCCCTTTCAAAAGAGCAGAAAGCTCGTTAATTTTCGATCTATTATTCAAGCGTCACCGGATGAGCCGCTAACACCGGAAAAATTGCCACTGAGATGGTGTGAGTGGATTATCGAGCTTTCCCCACGGATTTATTGTTGCCTCAAGGACGTTTTTAGTTTTTATTGCCGGGTGTCTGAGTTTACGAAGAGACGCAAAAACACGCTTTTAGTCACCAGTTTTACCATCAATAGGACAATATACTGCCTGGCCACTAGAACTGGCTCGGTTCTCAGGAGGATCGAATCCTATATGTTTACATTGCATTGTTTGTCGCCAAAATTGCGTAGTTTTACCGCATGCTTTTGACTCACTGACTACCAATGCCTGCCAAAGTGACATCATGAATTAAAATAATAATAATACTTGCCGGTAGAAACATCTACCTTCATTGTGTCGCTCTCTGCAAATTATGTAAGATCTATCATGTCTTGGAATTCTCTAACACCACAATCATCTGCAAGCACTGGCACTACGAATTTAATGACAAAACTTTGAAAAGATTGATCTTTGTCTACAAACAGTTTTTTATATTCCTGAACGCTAGTATAATTAAATTTTTGTATTCTAAAATAGATTCTTGGATCTCGGTCATCGTAACTACACATTATGAGAATTAGGAGACAAGCAAGTCCTATATGCTGAGAGTTGAGATTTAGGTTGTGCTGCTCTGATAAAAATTACAACCAGCACAATCTGTAAATATAGTCTATCCCGTTTAATAACAGTTTTTTGTGATTTGTGAGTGGTTATGCGCATGTGAAAATAGTGGAGTGAGTTTCCAATGCATGAGTAAACTAGGTTATTTCATTGTGTGCAGTTATTATGCACGAAAATTGATTGACAATATCCTAAATAATGGAAAATTCATGTGGTCACTGCCATCTGGCGTTTAGCCGTCTGAAACCCAGCATTTCTTGTGACGGTTTTTGCCAGCATAGCTACCACATTTCCTGTGTTGGAGTCGTGACTGAGGTTCTAAAAATGATTAAAACGCCTGGACTTTTTTGGTACTGTGTGGAATGCACTGATCGAAAAAAGAGTTATGAAGAATGGCATAAAACTAATTTTGAAGAAAGGGTCAACAAACTGGTTGCTAATGTATTTGATTTATTTTCTGAGGCATAATCTAAGTTAATGGTTAAAGTTGAAGAAACACTGGAATCTAGTGTTGACTGTCATGTCGCGTCTGGGCAGTCACTTAGTTATGCAAACGCTATGAGATAATATTGTCAATGTCTTGGTGAAACCAAAAAATGCAGGTCAATCTAACACTGAAACCAAACTGAAAATACATCAGGCTGTTAATCCAGTCGACAGCTGCATCAGATTTTCACAAGTGAAGCATGTCAAAGATGGTGGTTTGTTAATAAAGTGTAACAGTTTTACTGATGCTGAAAAACTCATGAGTTTAGCGTCCCAGCATCTCTGAGATGAATATGAAGTAAGGGAGATCAAGAGGAACAACCCTAGATTAAAAATCGTGGGCATTTCTGAAAGCATGTCGCTAGGCGAATTGCACTCTAATTTGATTGCGCAGAACGTTGTACTTAAGAACTCCAGTGAATGTAAAGTGTTAAAATTATGGCCTACTAAGAAATCACCCGGAGTTTTTCAAGCTATAGTTGAAGTTGATAACACTACGTATTTAAAGTTATTGGAACGGGATCATGTTCTTGTAAATTTTGATAGTTGTAAAGTATATGATGCTGTTGATTTAAAAGTTTGTTTTAAATGTTGTGGTTTAAACCATTATGCAAAATTTTGTAAAAGTGATAGGCAGGTATGTGTAAAGTGTTCTCAACCTCATATGATCTCTGAATGCTCGGAACAGGTATTGAAGTGTAACAACTGTGTCAATGCTAGATATCCTGATGTACATCATGCTGCGTGGGACTCCAGTAAATGTAAGTTTTATAAGGATAAACTAATAGAGTATAAGAAAATTTTGCTTGGTAATGAGTAGCAATCACTGCTGTACTCGGACATGTCAAATGTAGCTCCTAAAATCGTCACGGATAAACCCAACATTGCCCAGAATTCTCATGCCTTAAGTATATATTATCAGAATGTGAGAGGTCTCAGGCCAGACCTGTTACACATCTTAATGCTTCCTATTCTTGTGCGTATGATATCATTGCACTATCTGAAACTTGGGCTAATGCCTCTATACATGACTCTGAACTAGTAGGAGAAAACTACACCTTGTACAGGTCAGACAGGAATTATGATTCACTGGGCGTTAACAGAGGCGGAGGTGTACTAGTAGCAGTTCATAATTCATTCAAAGTCAGTAAAATCGACTTGATACGCAGTGTATCATCTGTCGATATTGTTACTATTAATATTGACAGATTGGGGCGTACCGCTATTATCATACTCGTATATATTCCTCCAAATCTGTCTGCAGACATTTATGAGTCAGTTTTTGGTGATATTCTGGCAGTTGATTATTTTAATTCTGATAATGAATTAGTGCTCTTAGGTGATTTTAATATACCAAGTTATGTTCACTATATGGACAACAACCTTGTCAACAACAATCAAATTTTGGCTGCGCAAAAGTTCGCAAACCTTTTGAATCTGAAGCAATACTCTCATACCTGAAATGAACATACTCGTGTCTTAGATTTGGCATTCAGTAGAACCGATATAGAGGTAAATAAAGCACTTGACATCTTGTTGCCCATTGACAGTCACCATCCGCCTTTGGAACTAATTCTCTCATTTCATACCTCTTCCTGTAGATTTGAGGTTAATAGTATAGCTTCCTATAATTTTAAATAATGTAATATTCTTGCTTTGTACAATGATATCTTTAATGCAGATTTTTCGTCCCTTTATGGACTAAAAGAGGTTAATCTTGCTTGTGACAGTTTTTACCAAATTCTGCACTTTCTGTTTGATATTCATGTACCAGTAACAACGCCGAGAGATATCAATTATCCTCCCTGGTTCTCCTGCTCAATAATTGCCAAGATTGAAAGAAAACGGAGATTATGGAAGCGTTGTAAACGAACATGCAATCCACATGATATTGATGCATTCAAAGAGCTTCGAAGGAGTATCAAGATTGAGCTGGATCGTGCATTTCATAGATATACCTCCAATGCTGAACAGAATATTTCTAACAATCCAAATAGTTTCTGGTCATATGTTAACAGAGCTAGAAATGTCACCGGTGTACCTAGTCATATGGTTTTGGATGACGTTGCTCTGAATTCACCACCTGATATTGTCAATGCTTTCGCTAAATTCTTTCAGTCTAATTTCATAACCTCTGGCAGGGGTGACACTGTCTCTGGTGTGTCTTGTAATGGTCAGTTATGCGACTTACCTAAAATCACAGTAGATCAAGTCAACCGTGCTTTATCTAAACTTAGATCCAAATGCTCTACTGGTCCGGATTCAATACCTTCTTTTTTACTTAAAGGTTGTTGTCATGTGCTCGCTGAGCCTCTCACTTTTCTATTTAATTTATCTTTGGAACAGAGATGCTATCCTAAGGTTTGGAAAGAATCTCGCATTACTCCTGTTTTCAAAAAAGGTGACCGAAATAATATTGAAAACTATAGAGCTATTGTGATCCTAAGTAATATTAGTATTAGTATTTGAATCTGTTGTTCACGAAATCATATTTACTCATGTGAAACACATCATCACTCGACATCAGCATGGCTTTTTTCCTGGTAGATCGACTACATCTAATCTTGCATCTTTCAAACAGCATGCTGCTGAAATTTTAGATACCTGCGGACAGATTGACGTTATCTATACGGATTTCTCAAAAGCATTTGACAGACTTGACCATGGAATACTAATACAGTAGCTTTTAAGATGTGGTATATCACTTGGATTCGCAAATTTCCTCAGATCTTATCTGTTGGACAGAATACTTTTCGTTGAGTACCGTGGTTTTAGGTCTGTCAGTGTTTCTGCGACATCTGGGGTGCCCTAGGGCTCCGTCCTGGGTCCGCTATTATTCGCTATATTTGTGAATGATCTCAGTGGCCAACTAAATTGTTGCAACTTATTGTACGCAGACGACTTGAAATTATTTTCAAGAATTGACACAATTGTCGATTGTGTGAAGCTTCAGGATGAACTAGTACGTCTGTATGAGTGGTGTTGCCTGAATCAGCTGTATCTGAATATTACAAAATGCCAGACTATGTCTTTCACACGTAAGCAGAATATAATTGGTTATGCTTATCACATAAATGGTCAAGTCTTGGATGGTTGTTCCATTGTGAGGGATCTAGGTGTTTCTTTCGACTCACAGTTAACTGTTGTGCAACACATTACTGAAATTGTAACCGGTGCGCACAAGACGATGGCCTCTTGTTCACGGCACGTTTTTCGCCGTAAAAATCTACGGTTAATTCGCCGTAGGTAGGCACGGTTATCAGTGTTGTATGGATCACAGTGGGAGCTTGTAGACATACACGGCAGCGCTACGTTACGGCAAAGCTGCCGTGCTCGCCGTGAAAGCCCCTCGGCGCGCCGCGTCTGGCGACGGCGTGATTTTCATCAGTGTTGTATCGCAGTGCATGAGAGCTTGTCGATGGTGCCGGACGTTTTCACGTTTTGGGAAAGATATTACACAGGCTGATGAAATAAGCGATAAAATGGACATCAATCAAGAAGTTCTTATAACATTAGTTCAAGAAAGGCCGGTGATCTGGGATAAGACGATAGAAGGTTATAAAAATAAACGCCTGAAGTTTGATTGCTGGAAAGAAATATTCGTACAATTGAATCCCGCATTTGAAGATTTAAGTGGTGAAGAAAAGAACACTTTTGGTTAGTAACTGATATATTTCTCACTTACAGTAATCCACTTAAGCATAGTTATTTTGATAAGAGAGGCTACCTTCGT